CTCCTTCTTCCCCTCCCACCCTCCTTCTTCCCCTCCCACCCTCCTCCTTCCTCACCCTCTGTCCTCCCCTCCCCTCCCCAGAGCTCTAGAATCCTCTTCCAGGTCACCCCTGCCATCCCTCATTTGTCTCCTCCTGTGCAGACTGTCAGTCAGGGTGGCCACTGGAACCTCTCTGTCCTTGCCCATGGTGCTGACTCTAATTTCTCACACCCATTGGTACGTTTTCACCATTGCAGACCTGGGTAACCATCTTCCCTGACACAGTGGGGTACCCCCTTTCATTGGTTAAACTTTGTATACTTTTCCAAGTATTATCTTTGGCTCCCCATCCCTTCTAGCCTCTCTCTTCAGAGAACTAAAGGAGTCACCGCCAAGCAGGACATGTAGATAGTCGTGCAAAGGATCTGGTAGAGACGTTCCCTTTCTGGGATGGAGAGATGGCTCAGCGGTTGGGAGCAGGGACTGCTTTGATTCTTTTCTTTTTTTTCTATGTCTCATAGCCTCGGATGGCCTGGAACTCACTATGTAGAGACCTCTACAGTTTGGCCTCTACCTCACAGAGAAACACCCAGCCAAGAGCCGGCACGGCAGAGGATCCCCGTTTGGTTCCCGGCACCCACATTGGGTAGCTCACAACCCTGACACCCCAGCGTCAGGGGCATCTGATGCACTCCTCTGGTCTGAGAGCAGCCGCACTCATGTACCCATGTATATAATTCAAAGTGATAAGATATCAAAACAGGAAACGTTCACTGCCTGGTAGGCCTGGCAGTGAAGGTCGTAATTCCAGCTTCTTAGGATGGCTGAGGCAGGAGAATCAAAAGTTCAAAGTCAACCTGGGCTACAGAGAGTGAGTCAAAGGCCAACTTTGTGTGGCCTTGTCTCAGACTGTGTGATAGTAGACTAATAATAGACTAATGTAAATAGAATGTCACACCAGCGAGAAGCATCAGAGGTGGAGGTCTGAGTCCTGATTTAATGCACCTCCATGCAGCTGTACTGGGCCCCCCTGCTGGGTGCTGCAGCCTCCTTCCATTGACACAAACGTGGAAAGATGCAAAATCTCAGCCTTCTTACACAGGGGCTCACCGCTTCTGGGAATGGCCGCAAATCTGCCGCGCTCCTTTTCAAGGAGACATCTCACAGCAGACCTGGCCAGCCTTTTTAATGCTGTACAGCACTGAGAATGGAAATGGCAGCCTGGGGGGACGGTCCAGTGGGCAAAGTGCTGGCTGTGCAAACACGAGGAGCTGAGCTGAGGCCCCCAGAGCCCAATAAAGCTGGAGTAAGACAGTGCTCATCTGGAATCCCAGCCCTGCTGTATGAGATGGGAAGTGGGCACGGGGACCCGGGGAACCTGCGTCCAGCTAGTCCGACATACGCAGTTTCAAACAACAAGAGGCTGTCTCCAACCAGGTGAAAGACAGGGACTGAACCAGATGTTCCTCCGACCTCCACACGTTCATATGGCATCCATATAAGTCCCCTCCCAATGCATACGCACACGCGTATGCATGCATGCGCGCACACACACATAAAAAGCCTAAGAGGGCTGGGGACGTAGTCTAGTGGTAGGACCTTTGCCTAGGACCCATGAAGTTCTCCAGGGTGCTGAAAAAATAAAGGTACTCCTCTCGCTGATTCTAGAAAGTTCTCTCCAGTTGCTCCAGCTTTAGGAGAATTCTCTAGTCTGTACCCTTCTTTATGATGATAATTTTTTTGCATTCATTTACATTTTTTTCTCCTTCGCTCTAGCATGTCTTCTTTTTTGGGAAGGATTTCATGAAACACTCCCTTCCAGAAGGTTTTCCTTATGAAATATCTGGCAGTTACTTCTGTTTGTTTAAACTTGAAAAAAAAAATCAATGATTTCAAATTGCAAATTCAGTTAAAATTTACTCTGTGATAATGTAGGGCAACACGCTGCCAGGGTGTGGAAGCAGAAAGTCAATGAGGCAGGGAAGCAAGATAATCCAGAGGATGCTGAAACAGGGTCTCTGATTAGTGAAGGGCAATTACACGGAATAAATGCAGTATCGATTTTTGTATAAAAATTGCACGCAGAGGAGGGAGAGAGCTGGTGCTCCGTCATCTCTTTTTCGTTTCGACTTGTCAAGACATTTCCAGGTCCTCGGAACTGTGTTAGTTTTGCTTTGTTTTTTTTTTTTTTAAATGCAGTTTTGATTTGGATGATTGGTACAGCATTAAGTACCTTTGGTATGGCCTCTTTGGAAATGGCTAGTGTTGTCTCTGAAGCCCTATACTACTGTGCTGGGTTTGGTCATTGTGCCTGACTTACTACACGGTGTTGAGAATATTTGCGCCCTGCTTTTTACTCCTCAGAGTTTGTGGAGAGCAGAATCATGCTCATGGATGCTTTCCCCGGTGGCATGAGTAGGTGAAATTGTTATTCTAAGGATATGATTTTGAAAACTGAGTTACAGAATAATTTTATAATGAGAGTTTTCACTTGGAATGTATGTTTTGGTGACTCTGAGATGAAGAATATGTACTTCATTTATATCTTTAATCATCAGTAGGAGGAAAAGATGGCTGTGTTAGCTGTGAAACAGTCTTTTAGCTAATTACATTTGTTTACAGTTTCCAGGGTATATATAAAGAGCCAGTTAAGCATGCTTGCACACTCACATGCACATGCAACCCTGTGTGTGCATACGCTGCATACCTGTATCCTCTCTCTTTCTTTCTCTTTGTGCCCTTGTGGAGAGACAGCAGATGTGTCCCCAGTTGCACAGTGTTGAAGGCTTTTGTTTCCCCAAGGTGAGGGTCGAGCATTCAGGGAATGATTTGGTGACAGGAGGTGACATTTAGAGGTAGGAGTCACTTGGAAAGGGGATGACTGGCTGGGGCCCTGGCTGAACAATAGGCCCTGGCTGTTGATGGACAGTTGCCTTCCTGTCCTGTGTGTGTGTGTGTGTGTGTGTGTGTGTGTGTGTGTGTGTGTGGTGATTGTTTTAAGATTCATTTTTATTTTTCTGAGAAATCCCTCACTTGCTGTTTAGTTTTTTGTGTGTGGGAGCCCCCAAACAGCTTGACCACACAGCTGCCATGACAGGCTTAGAGGCCCAGACACAGCTTCTGGCAGGCAACAGCTGGACCCAGGAAGAGCCAGAAGCTGACACCACCCAGTGGGGCCTGGCATCTAAGGGGAAATACCTGACATTCCAAACATTCCCTATACTTAGACAAATGTCAGCCAATCAGGGTCCTGAACCCTGGAAATCCTCTCACCCCAACCTCTGCTATGATAAAAACCCCACCTTGCCTGGGCCCTGGGCTCTCTGCTCTCACTGCTCCAAGCTTGAAAATAAAGGGTCTTTGCTTTTACACATAGGATTCGGTCTCCATGGTGGTCTTTTGGGGGTCCCCACCATCTGGGCCTAACAGTTTAACCCTTTGGCCTCAAGGTTCCCCGGAAGACTTTAGTTTATGTGGCTTTCCAGAACCAATTTTGAATTTTCCTTAGCAATTAATGGAGGGCTTTTGCTATAAGAAAGAGGCCTACTCCTCTTGAAGATATACCTTCTGTTTTGTCTAGTTCTTTTTTTTTTTTTAATTTTTGCAGCACTGAGGACTGATCACAGATCCTTGTGCATGCTAGTCAAGTGCTCTATTGTGAAGCTGGAATTAGCCCCACGAATTACCTTCATTTTGCATCCAGCCCTTGCTAATTTGATCAGGCTGGGCTTGAACTTGTGATCCTTCTGTCTCAGCCCCCCCAGTAGATGGGATGATGAGCCCATGCCAGCAAGGCCAGCAGTCTCTCCGGTCTAGGAGCCAGACCAGCGATGCATGAGAGCCCCACTGCTCTCTGTGCAAAGGCGCCTGACCTTGAGGGCTGTGATGGAATTCCAGGCCTCACCGCCTTTGCTCTGATTTCCTCTTTGTGTCTTTTCTCAGGGTGGGGGGTGGGGGGTGGGGGGTGTGACACTCGATGGCCAATGGCATTTTGAGGGTCTGGCTAAGCAGAATGGAATTAAGACTGTGTTGTCTCTGCTGGAACTTGAGAAGTCTTCCTGGATGTATCAATAAAACAACTGAAATGTGGTGGCTTCTGATTCAAACATAGGCGAATGATTCATGTTTTTGGTAATCATCTCTGAATATTTTAAACAAATAAAGGAAGATTTGTTTCCCTTTCTTCATTTTCATCTACAGACGGAAGCATGAAACTGAAGCTGGTAGAAACAACGTCAAAATAATGAGAGGGCTGGGAAGATGGCCCTGCAGGTAAAGGTAACTGGCCAGACCTGAGGACCTGTGCTCAGTCCCCAGGCTCCTTCGTGGTGGAAAGACAGAACTGACTCCTAAGTTGTCCTGTGACCTTCTCAACCACACCATGACTCATGTACTTCACCACCCCGACACACACACAAATAAGGGTAATAATGATATCGATAGATATTGAGATTATAGCAAAAAATTTTCAGATACGATCATACCCATTATTTAACAGAAATAATTTGTATTTATTCATTTATACTAAGAGATATGTATTAGTTTGAAATAGTGGAAGGTTTCTTGGAATTTTGATAAGCTGATTAATGAAAACAAGTGACTCCCATCAGCTCACTGGAGAAGGAGTTCAAATTCTGACAGGCTTAACACAGAATAAAGATATCAACATAAATTTAAGAATGAATCACTGGAGGCTGGGTCACTATAGGCCCATGCCTATAGTCTCAGCACTTAGGAAGCCAAGGCAGGAGGATTAACCTGAGGTTATCCTGGGCTACATAGTGAGTTCTAAGCCAGTTTAAAACAAAACTAAATACGCGATAACAAAGTAGTTCTGGCTGTGAAGATGCCCATTTCTTACAAACAACTCAACAGGCAAGGCCAACACCATGGCATTGGTTTAAGGCCAACATTACTGATGAGAAACTCTAAAATTCTCTGAAATCTTAAAACTCGGATGGGAAAAAAAATCTTGATAGAGTTTTTCTCCCAATTTGACAGTAACTTTGAGGATTCACCTACTAGCATCTACAGTCAGTCTTAAAGCTGACAATAATAGAAACAAAATCTTATCAGCCATGTTACAGGAACGAAATTATTTTCCTGATCTCTTTCTAGAAAAAAAATGTAGCCAACAAGTATAAGAGACAGTAAGTAATAGGTGCCAGACAGATTTTAAAGATCGCTAATTTTTCTGGGTTTATGATATTTTCAGTACTTTAACACCTACAATTTTTTGTAATTCCTTTTTTTCTTTCAAACAGGAGAATCACTGACTAGTGTGTGATGTTAGCCTGTGACAATTAATCTTGTCTCATGTCTTCCCGACGTCAGGCTAACTTAAGCATCTGGAGAGAGGCCCCTGACCCCACAGGTGAAAGTCTCAGCTGTGGCATTTAAGGTACCATGGGAAGATGAGAAAACCAATGAACAGAATTGCCAAATGCTGGCACACACTATTTAAGTGGCTACATAAAGGCTTCCAGGTCCCTGTTTTAAATGTGTGGCAGAAAAGGCCACGAGGGCTACTACTGTGTGCCCTGCCACACTTTTAAAGGCTCAATGGAGCCTTGTTCAAAGTGCCACCTAGAGGGACACTGGTCAGCTGACTGCCCTCATGCACCTCATGGCATGGGGACATCAAACAAAGACCTCCAGCAGACCTCTTAGGCTTGGCCACAGGCTCACAGTGAACCCAGGATGCATAATGGAGTGATCTGTTTTTCCCTTTTGGACACCAAGCCACTTAATCAGTCCTGAGGGAGTTTTGGGGTCCTACCTCTCCTTCTCATTTTCCATTGTCGGGGTAGGAGGACAGCCTTACCCACCTCACCAGACTCCACCACTTATTTGTACTTTCAGGGGTACCTAATGGGAAGAGATTTTCCAGCTAAGGCAGGAGCTTTTGCTTCATTTGCTTCCTTCATGTGCCTCACTCCAGACCTGTCAGAAGTGCTTCTCCTCCTCATGCACAGGGACACAGACAGGGCCCTGAGTGCTCTCAAGTTCCAGAGGACACCAGGATCCACTGCCTTGTCACTAATTCCAGAAGAATGAGATTTCACCCCACAAGTTTTTCTCTTCCTGGTTTCCTCTCCTAACTACTCAGCTAATTGTTACAGGATCACCAGAGAGCTGGAGTCCAAGGACCATCAAACATATCTAGGTGGTAAGGAACAGTAACAGTTCAAAGGTACTTACAACCCCAGACCCAAAAGGATCCAGGCTCTGCAAAAAACAGACTTTAATATAACAATCTATTACTTTTAGCCCTCAGCAATTGATCACAAGTGTCTCCTGGATTTAAACTAATAAAGGAAACAGGTGCCTTAAAATAATCTCTCTCTGATAAAGCTTATCTTAGGAAAAAACATGCTCCAAATCTCTTGGTCTCTCTCACTAACACTAACCAATATAACCAGAGTACTAAACACTGCAATGTCTTAGCCACCAGCTCAACACTTTAATTTTCCCATAGCTGCTTCTTGATATGTTTAAAGTTTTTTCTAAGCTCCAGAAACCAGCCTGAATCCATCTGGACAGTTCGGATCTACTTCAGATAAGTGCAACCCAAACTTTCCTAGTCCCAGGACCCCCTTCCTCACCCTGGGACCCCCAAAGGAAAAGGAAAAGTAATAATAATAATTCTTTTTTCTAAGCTTTTGTCTGTCTCACCAGCACCAGAGTCCCAGGCCAAGAGGGATGATGGACAGGTTTAAGGTAGCAGATGACAGCCCACCATCCCAGGACACCTGTCTATTTCAGAAACCCCCTTCCCTACCCACCCACCCCAGAGTTAACAGATGCCCACCGAGTCAGCTGGAAGTAGTTTTGGGAGACAAAGTACCCCTATTCCTGTTTACCTGCTTTTTTTTTTTTTTTTTTTTTTTATAATAAGCAAAATGCCTGGAATGTTAGAATTCCGGCTACTCCTCCAGCTGTATGACCACACATGCACAGTTCAGTATTCAAGCAAGGGGCCTTACATTCTACGTAATCTGTGCGCTGTATGATTACACAGTCTGTGCATGCATGGCGTAGCTCTGCAAGCCCATATGCGCATGTGCAGGGGAATCCATAAGAAGTGGATCACAGACCTCTCCCCCTCTTCTTCTTCCTTCTTCTTCTCCCCACTCTCTCTCTCTCTCCACCTGTCTCTTCCACAGGCCGGGTCACGCTCTCTTCTGTCCCTCCCCTGTCCCTTCTAATAAAGCTCTGCCCTGATAATGGATTTTGTTGTGCCTTGCGACCTTTCCTGGCAGAGTAAAAGTGTCACTTTGAAACCAACACTGAGTACAGCACCCTCGGTCACCAGGTGGTCTAAGATGATGGCCCTTTCCTAAGATGGAGTCTGTAAAGTGAAATCTAGGCCTTCATATTGATTGCCTTCACAGAGGTCCAAGGGAAAAGCTGTTGCTTTTTGCCTGCTTGTCTTTGCCCCTAGCTGGTAAGTACATCTATGCTGCTACCACTGCTGCTGGCATCAAATCCCAGGTTCCTTAACCTTCCAACACAAATGGAATACCTACCAATGACTGTCTACGAAACTCCAGCCCACTGTCCTGGCACCGCTGAGGCATCTGGACTCATGGACTGAGCAGCTCATATCATGTAAGCCAACCTAATAAACCCCATTTGTAATGTGTGTTCATCCTATTACTTCTGTTCTAGAAACCCTGACTAATACAATGCCTAAATTTGTATTGTAGGTTTATGTTTTTTGTCCTTAAAATAGATATCCCCAAATTGTACACATTTTAGGCCCTACCAAGCCCAGAGCCCCTGGGAAGCTCCATGACCCTGAAGAAATGATGGATGTGCTATGACCCTCATTTTCCCCACGACAGATGGGGGCTGCATGACTTCATGGTTATAAGGTCATGAGGTTTAATGAAGTAACGAGGATGGAGTGTGTGGTGGTTTGAATAAACACGGCTTACGTGGGCTCATATATCTGACTGCTTAGTCACCAGGGAGTGAGTGGAACTCTTTGAAAGGATTAGAAGGATTAGGAGGTGTGGCCTTGTTGGAGGAAGTGTGTCAATGGGGGTGGGCTTTGAGGTGCCAGAAGCCATACCAGGCCCAGTCTCTCTCTTCTCTTCTCTTCTCTTCTCTTCTCTTCTCTTCTCTTCTCTTCTCTTCTCTTCTCTTCTCTTCTCTTCTCTTCTCTTCTCTT